TAATTTATGGGGAAGCTAATGCTGTTCCAAGGCACTGTATAATAATGAGTTTTTCATAGCCAAAAATATTTGGCTGAGTTTAGCCTACATATCTGCATCCTGTCCGCGCACATTGTGTGTCACCACAAATGTCTGAGACCACGTCCTGCCAGGAAAACGAGTCAGGGGCTTTTTTAGGTCGTGGTTGTTTTAGGTGTTCAGGTTCAATCCCCGCCCAGAGAAGTGCTTGCTGCTCCGTGTCCTCTGCCTGACACCGACCGCTTCTTCTTTCCATACCTACCCCATTTCCCCACTCATCCAGGTGCCATCCCACCCCCCCGATGACTGCCTACCATTTTTACCTCTGTTCTTCTATTTTATAAGACTAGAAATGTCTTTATGCTGCTCTCCCCATCTGTGTGAATCTACAGAGCCTTCCATCTGAGTCTTACGCTACAAGCAGAGAGTATCCATGAGCAGTTTTGCTGGAGAGGGGAGAGCAGGGCAAGGGTGTCCACAGAGGTAGAGCTAGAAGCAAAGCAGAAGGGCTGGTCTGATGTTTGGGTGATGCTTTTTGTTAGCCTGTCACAGTTGCCAAGTGCTAAGTAAAAACATGCCTGACATGATACTTAGGTATCCTTAATCTGACCACAGTCACTTGTTATTTGAGACCACAAATAATAATAAGGAACTCTGCCATCAATTGGCACAGCAAATATCTTGTGCATTTGTACAAAAATATTTTGTGCTGCTCTGCATTCTTCACATTATTTGAGGCAAGCTATTTGTCGGTGTCTGTCAAGCACCAGCACTTGCTACTTTCACCTTGCATTTCATGTTCTCCTCACCCTACAGGCAGCCATATGGTTGAATGTAAGCCAAAACTAAGAAGGATTTTCTCTTTTCTTTTGAAAGGATGGGTGCACGGAGATTTATCAGTAATACAGTTGTACTTAATACTGTCCTGTGTAACTAAGAAGGCCCACAGCGTGTTGCTGGCATGAGCAGCTACTCTAGTGAAATCCTACGTGAGTTGCCATTTTGCATTCTACGTAGAACTGTGCTGTATGTTTTTTTGATGTATCGTTCTTAGTTAGTTGTCCTAAAATGCCAATAATGCGGTGATGTTCTAGTACAGTTTTTGTGTACTATCATTTCATAGTAATCCTTTAGAAATTACAGCTATTACATAATTTGGAACACGACTGTCACCCTGTCTATGCCTAAAATTTTAATGTTAGAAGTGAATGACCAGGTTCATCATAGACCTAATTGGTTCTTTAGAGAATCTACCTTGTGCAGTAGCCTGTACGATGCGTATTGATGTTAACATATTATATAATCAACTTTAGAAAATGCAGCCACTTGAAAGCTGGTTTCTGTGTCCCTGTGCTCATTCACTACCCTAAGGAGAGTACTGAAAATCAGCAGAATTTTACTAGAAAGCAGAAATGCCTACTGTGGGTTTTTTGGGGGGTAGTAGAGCAATTGATTAACTTGAAATCAACTTTGTCTGCAAACTGTGCTCTCCAAACACTTCTTTATTGAGAGATATATATGGTAGAGATTTTACAAAATGAGTTAATGTTCCCTTTTGCTGTTCAAATTGGGTGGTGAAGTAATGGAACATGCTATTTTGATAGTTTGGCATATGTCCCAGGAGTTGATTAAATGATCTCTCTTACTCTGTACATGGATTGTGCATTTCCATGCAAACATCAGAGCTGCAAACACAAGTCTGCAGTATCTGCTCTTATCCCTGTATGGCAAAGCAAAGCACATCATTTACTACCTGTTTAAACACTAAATGTATTTTAATAGACAATTACAGTTTGTCAACAGAAATAGTCCCCTATAAAACTTAACAATGGATGAACTGGAACTGCTACAGTGAACTTAGTGATAGGGTATTTCAGGATCATTTAGTAAGAGAGCTTTTAAAAAGCCAAACCAGAATTTTGAGGCTTTGCATTTTCCTTTCTATGACCCCTGCTGCAGTCTCCAGTGCTTGAACATGTGATCCTCAACAGCATCTTAACCCAGATTTTCCAAGGAGAAATTTGCAGTCTTCCTTCCAAAGGGGAAAGAAGAAATAAACTCCTCTGATTTGTTTCTTTGGGAGGCAGGACCCTGACAGAGATTGCGTCGTCTCATTTATGGCTTAGGTGAGCTATGTGGTAGATACAATTTGTCATCTGTTTCCCCATGGTAGGAGGTACTCTGCTTTAGTCACTTTGTACTATGGCTGTAAGGTTCTTCTGATATATTTAGATCAATGAACTACACAGTAAAGATAATCTTGTTTAAAGGAAACACAATAAAATATCCTGCAAGATTAAAACAGGAGATGAGAAATCCAATCAGAGCACACATCCTGCCACTTCAATCATTATGGCTGAGAAACCCACAATTAAGCCCTGTATATTACATAATAAGTAATATTCCCATAGGTGGGAGCAGGCCACATTTGATAAATTTGTTCCAATTCTTGGTTATGCATAGTTCAGGAAACTAAAGCAGTTACAGATTAAGGCAAAGTTCCCAGATCAGAAAAGAATTAGGAAATCTGAGTGTTCAAAGTTGGTAGAATACAGGTATTTCTTGACATTGTAGCCATTTGTCTTAGCAACACCAAAACACAGATGAACAGCACTGTGTAGGTTTGACACTTTTATTAACAAAGAACCCATGGGGCTCAGTCATTAGTACAAAATACAATCATGTTCCTGTATGTTAAACAGCATTTTTTTTTCAATTTTATTTTGTCTCTTTTAAACTGTTTCACAGTTATCAAAACAAAGCCCCTGCATATTGAACTTATTATTGTGCAAACAGTAATTATTTTAAGGATCAATTTCTGCACTAAACCAAGTGTCAGAGAGCAGAATTTAATCTTGTTTTCACCCCTCCTTTGAAGGGCCACGTGTGCTTCCTAAGAAACACGTTTTAGTTGTCTTTTTTGCAGCAAACAATCTAAGGCCACGGTTTATCTGCAAATAATAAAAAACAACTCAAAGATTTTAGAAAGAAAAAAAAAAAAAGAAAAAGCACATCTTTACCCTTCATGCTCTTGTTTGCTTGACCATGTTTATACCACGTAGCACACATCACCTATCAGGTATTACAGTCCAAAAAAGCACCTAATGTTCTTTAAGCTAGTATTTTGAATTATTAACATGCAAGTTAATACACAGCCACATTACTTTTCAAGTAACTATATGGGTATCTGTTTACGGAAAATATGCTTGTTCCCTTTCCAGGTGATGCAAATGGACATCCCGCATTGATTGTATGGGCATGCCATCACTTAAAAAAAAGGCATGAGCGCTACATCTTGAGCCTTTAATACTCTATTTTTAGAGTGTCTTTTCTAGAACATGCATTCAAATTTTGGTTAAAGCTGCATTTGTTATAGAAGATAATACAGGTGCAAATGAAAAAAAATAACTGCAGTTTGGAAGCATGAATCTCAATCAGTATGTCTTTTACACTGATGTAAAAGTGACTTGAGGTGAAGTGCTAGAAATTAGACAATGTGAGGAAGTCATACTAAAAGAAGACTAAAAATATATATCCGTCTGTAGAAAAATCCTTGCTTCTTAAATGAAATCAGATTTCATAAAAAAAATTTCAACTTTTTTGAACTGCAGTTATTGATGAAATGAAGGAAATTGTATTACTATTCTTGTAGTTATTAGAAAGTACAATGTTTTACCACATGAAGCACCGGGTTTTAACCCCAAACCCTTCTGTAAGACATATGGAGTAGTTCTAGTAGTTCAAAATCCCCTGTAGCTTAAAGACTCGACTGTAAACGTGCATACTGAGAATGCTGTGTTTCTGATCCTTTAAGTGATCTGTTGATGGTGGCTTACTCTTCCAATTGATGCTTGGCAGGAAGCAAACACTCTACTTTAAATGAAGGCAGCAGAAGGGCCAAGTAAAATGCTGTGCCTTCACTCTTAGCAGCAACAAACTCTCACTGTTCTAAATGACCTGAGGAAGAAAACATTAAAATATTGCACCAAAACAAAATTAAACAGGAAAAACAAACAAGGAAACACACTAACAAAAAAATAGTATGGATAGCAAATGACCAGTGCAGCCCCTGACAATAGATCTCTAGACAAAAATGCAGGACTAATGAAAAGCTTTGTGCCATTATCAGAGGATTTTGTTCCCCTGATGTCTGCTTTCACTTCAGTTATAAGCTATGTCTATTCTGGGTATATTTACACCTCTCCCTATGCCTCTTATCTCAATTCACTAACCACAGAAACCATTTAGGTCCCTTTTAGAACCTTGAAGTATACTGGAGCTTTAACAAGACTTTTTTTGGTCTTAAATCTGACCAGAAGTAAATATCCAAAACAGAGGTAGGCTTATAAAGGCTTCTGAATAAATAAGTATTGTCCATTTTGCTAAGTATACCTGCTGTTGGCAAAAGGTTTCTCCCTTGCCATGCTTCCCCTTATCATGCTATCCATAGGCTTAAGATGCAGAAAAAGAACTCACAGTAGAAGAGGCTAGAGTAATTCCCTTAAGAAATCCCTTGAAAGAAAGCATAGTGCATAAGCTCTTATCAAAGTTCAATTTTCTTTTACATACTTGTCTCTTTTTCATTCAGTAAATGGTTGCCTTCATAATATTGCGTAATAGCTATTCTGTCATCCATGATGTCTTTAGAATCGGTATGAATGATGAAATAGTACCACTTGGCAGTTGTTAGGAGGACAGGTTCTCATGAAATACAAAGTTAAGCTAGAGTGAAGACTTCACTCCGTATTTTAGTAGTGTTCCTTTCTTGGATGCAGACAGTGCAAAACTGAAGCCCCTTGAACACTGGAATCTTTTGGAAATGTTTTCTTACCCCACATTCTGTTCTACTACGCAAGTTCTACTACAGAAGTCCTCAACATCATTACGTAAATTCTTCCAGAGCGTTCCAAACAAAATATAAATTCTTTTCACTTCAGAAGATCCTTGCATCTCCTCCTCATGCTTTATGTAGTATATCCACTTTTTAGAAAGCATTCAATATTTTCAGGTACTTCAAGTATCCCAAGCATAGCTGCTCCCACAATATCCTCTGTGCAGACTAATCCAGCAGATTCTCTTCCATCACCAAACATGCTCATACCTCCCTCTCCGTTTTTCTTTGCCTTTCTTGTACACAAACTTAAGTTTTGAAAAAGAAAACTGTTTCCTTTTTAGCTGCACTATCAGCTTAAGCAGCAGAAAGATTAAGACATTCATCATAATGATGCTGTTTACAAGTCTTCTTCAGAGCATGAATGAAACAGGCTGAATTTCTTCTACATCAGTTGGATGTGGATCAATCTACAGAAAGGAGAAAGGCAACAATTACTCACTATAATTCTTGCATTTCTGTGTGTGGGGTTTTTTTTTTTTTTGCCATCTGACAATAAAACCACCACCTGCTGTTTATTTTTTTACCTCTGAATAAAGAGGTGGAGGCTGGAACCGGAACTCTTGTATGTAAGCAAAGACAGGACAACACAATTGTTCCTCACAGTCAATTGGTGGTGGATAAGCAGGAACATGTCTGGAGAACTCTTCTTCAGACACTACATCAGCATAATTTGGTGGTGCTGAAACACAAGAGATACTACTGTCAAATTTCAAACTATTCCCTCACAGCAAGGCAACTTATGTATTACAGTATCCAAGATCATTAAGACTGTATTTATTAAACATTGTACTATTGTCAAATTGTATGAAGCACACTATACTTGCAGATATTCTAACTAGAACCATGTTTTTAGTAAGCTTAGGTGATTCAGGAGGAAACACTACAGATGCTTTAGGGCTACTCTGGCAACAAACGTGTTTTATCAAGACATATTCAGTAATGATTAACTTCAAGGTGTCTACCTCCAAAGTAGAATTTCCACTATCAGAAGTTAATTACTTCAAGATTCAGTTGAGAGTAGTCAGATAGGGGTAGAGAGAGACTTAAGAAAGGCTGGAGTTAGGGTATCCTCACCAATCCTTTCAGATCTTGATTTAGATTTATATGCCTCACTTCACGAGTCATATTTTAACAGCCTACATCCCCCGTATTGGCCGCAAACTGGCACTACTATCCTTCTGTTGTAGACACTACTATGTGGTCACATAAAGAGTGCAATATTGATTACCTTCGGGGTGTTCTGGCATGGTCAATGCCAGCCAGCTCATATCCATACTAAACTGGCTGGTAATGCTGGAGTTTCTGCTTGAAAATCCAATACATGGAATAGTGCCAATCACCAGAGGCATTTCAATCATCAATTTCTTAGCACCAGGAATATGGATATACACCTATGTGACAACCCCCAAATAAAAGAAAAAGACATCATGAGACCCCATTGAATTGCTGCTCCTAGAAGCTACCCTACTCCCTATACTGCAGACTGTTTAATCGTTCTCTCATCCCAGGTATGTTTAGCTAATGCCCCGGCAGCTTTCATTATTTTTCAGCAACTTCCTTCTTTCTGTACCTTGTCTCTAGATGACATGAAAAAATATGCAACAGGTTGACAAAGATAATTATGCACTGGACTTCCAGTCCTATCTTCCTATTTCTGAAAAGAATGACTGGAAGAACCCATTCAGCTTTAACTACTTTCCCTTGATAATCTCTGCAGGCCTACAGCTAAGCTGCTTCTTCCTCAGAAATATTTTTCCTTTTTCCCCCATTATTGCCATCTCTTACTTTCAGAATCTCCTCATGATCTTCAGTCTCTCAACTATATGCTAAATGATTATTTATGTTTATTGTTGTTCCCAAATTCATCTAATAGCCGCTCAGTGGAAAAAAACTAGTCTGCTCCTAACTCAATGTAATATTCAAGAGTATATACACTTGTAATAAAAATCCATACTTACAGCTAATGAATATTCTACTCTAATAATACAGCAGTCAAGTATAGAGGGGGATACAGGTGGGATTTTCAGAGTTTTCCCATTCCAGGTATCTGTGCTCCCAGAGGCAATATGGTTTCCTCGGACATTGGCAACCATCTGACGGAAAGTTTTTGTCTTCCCACTGGCCAGATAAGTTTGGGTTTGGAAAATGGCAGCTTTTGGAACAATCAAACGAGAAGAGCAGTTCTCAATTTCTGCATAGATTGGTATGGCTTCCCCTTAAAGACAGAAAAAGGTCAATGAGTAATTTGTATTTACCAACTTTCCTCTGGGAGTATCAAAGCATGCTATGCAGCACATACATCATCTGCAATGTTACAAGAACAATACTTGCTAGTTTCCTCAAGCTATGGTTTGTTTTTTTTTTTTTGCAGAGTGGTATCCAGGCAGAATTGTAGCCACCTACTACATTTTATGTATGAACAGTGATGCATTTTGAAACATTAACCAAAACATGAACAAGCTATAAAAGCTTTATTTGCAAATTACACACCAATCTTCCTTTTATATAGTATTAACTGAATTCCAGAATGTTTTATTTCCTCACTGTATTCATTGTTATCGCGATGACAGAGAAGCTGCTAAAGCTTGCTCTTACAGAAGTGTAAACCTACACAAGCAGGACATAAAAACCTGAATCCCCAATTAAGTGTTTCATCCCAAATAAAAGCATTTTATTGTTCTTTACATTCAGATGTACGTGTTTTTTCCGTAAGATGACTGTGTAACGGGACTTCCTTTCAATTTATGTTGTATGTGAGGGGCAAGGCAAGATGATTTTTGGTAAAGCAAGTTGATAGAGATCTCAGTTTACTACCTACTAAATGGAACTATTCTTTCAACTAAAGCGTTGGCTTCACCAAGATGAAAAAACCCTATCAGATGTTTAATATTCACATTTTGAAGGTAACTACTCTTACCATTACAGTATCCCTTCCTCTCAATTTTGGCACTGAGAGACACTGGCCCAGAAGTGAAAAACCAACAGCCAACCATCTTCTCCTGACTTCTTAGAACAGGTGTCTATAAAATATAGAGTATTTTACATTTTATGGCATAAAGCTATCAATCACTTGCAGTTTAATGTTATGCATATCAGTCATTGCAGTCTAGCTCTAAAATCCGCTTAATTTGAATCACTGCACTACTCAACGCAACTGGATTTTTGCCACCGTGTAAAATAGAACCAGGGTCTGGCTGTCTGAACATCTGGCAGTTTTAAAATCCCAGTCTGCATTTAGACCATATCAGCTAGGTAACACAGAGACCAATGTGCATTTGAACATAATCTGTCTTCAAGAAGATTGATTTAGCAAATTTTATAGGTGTCACTCAAAGGTCTAATGGATCACCTTTATGGCAGTATTTATGCCCATGTTCCTCAGTGCAGAAGAATGCAGAATTAATTTCATCTGCGAGCAACTAATAGTTAAGCAGGTAAACTGTTTCTACCTTTGTATCCTTCGTAATAAAGGTCAAAGGTATACACACTGGGCTTAGATGATGCATGTTCATAACTTGCAAGCCACACAACCCCCCAAAAATTTAGGCTCATGACAAAAAACATCTTAATTATTCATGGAGGACTGTCACATTAGATGACACTTATTCTAATGAAAATTTTACAGACAGTGTAAACTTACAACATACAAGTACACGTGTTAAGGGGACAAGCCAGGATTCCAGCTACTTAAAATGATTCACTGGGCACTATTGCCCAGGCAATATAATTAGGAAGTCCAAAATTTGTGGTGTTTTGCACTTTTTTGGTGGTAGTCTTGCAATCCATTAACTCAGGCGCTGCCTACTTTATGTGCCCCATAGCCCTCTCCTGTGCAATAATCTCTCTATGTTTACTCTACCCTTGCAGTAACTGGATATGCTGTCTTCATACTCCTAACATACACTGCTGAATATAAAGGCTATATTCTGCTTACAGATGTCACTGCCAAAATACTTCTCTAAGTTCTCTCTAGAGAGAAAAGATTAAAATGTAAGCATATAAAGAGGAAAAAAACCCCTGCTCAAAACATCTCTTAGCTATGTTCAGATCGTGATGAAATGTTAAAATTATCCTAGCATTTTAAATAAAATAGAAATTACTCATTCATATTTAAATGAATAACCATTTAGATCCAGTTGCTATCATGAAAGTGCAAGGTATAATTTTATATTATTTTCATAATATGGGTTGAGATAAAAGAATCCAGCTCATTAGCTTCCATCTTGCTTATTTTCTCATTACTTAATGCCTGATCTTTCTTATTACTCTACAGTATTTCTACTGATTATTAGAAACTCAATGCTTTAATATGGCCAAATCTGTCATAAGGAAATAACTGAAAAGATCTCTGAAGCAGCTGCATGCACGCACTTAATGTTAGAAAACGACATGCAAAATGGAAGGATATGTAACATAATGGCCAGAGCATAAATGACAGGCTGGGCATGATTAATACTCTTCCATAATTACTGTTCCTCAACCTACTATTATTGTAGAGTTTAGGACACTGCAGCCCTGTGAATGTAGTTGCTCTGGTAAGAGTAACTACTTTATGCTTGTGCATTATTATTATTAAGCCTTATTTATGCATCTGAAGCCTGCATAACTTTTTGGCAAGAGCATCTCTGCCAGCAGGGATGTAATCAATGGTATTAAAAAAAGCCACTCTGTTTGCTATTCACACAACCTAAGATCATCTATTTATAGAGAAAAGCTTAGGGAGCTTATATGCTTTCAGAAGTCAGAAAATGACACTCCAGAATAACATGGAAATGGTTATGGCTGGATGTGAATGCTTCTTGGAAATGATTTTTTTGCAGCTGGCTTTAAAGGGAGGAGAAGGAGTGGAGGACTCTTACCAATAAAGCTGGTGAGCTGACGTCGATATGGCTAATGACCTGAAGCTCTGTCTGTACACTTTGATCAGGTGCTGCAGGCCTCTCCAGAATTGCTTTCACATAGTACTGAATACTGCCATACTTCCCAGTAAAAGAGGTCACCAGAGGTCTGAAACAAGCAGTCATAAAAGCATTACCGTAAGTTTGTAATTCAGTTCCAAACATGAACACTTCCTGTGTACATAAATGTTTACCAATTTACAGCTTGTACTTCTAGGGCCTTAGGGAAACTGAAGCAAACAAGGCATGTCTATGAGGTAGTTGATGAAGACAAATGTATAAAGCTAACCTATCAGTTTGATATTAAAAAAAACAACCTCAAGTCAAATTACATTAAGTTAATGTTCCACAACAAGCAATGTCCAGCACAATCCCTTCAGGTTGTATTTAACTTACTCTTGAGGGAGTTGAAAGCTGAACGGAAATTCATGTCTTCCATCTAGAAGAATTAAGCTTTCCTCACCTGCAGGATAAAAAATGAGTAGTATGTTTTAGTTATTCCATAAATAGAAGAACAAAGCAGATGCTTTTATAAATTATTTATGTATAAAAACACCCAGATGCAAGGAACCAGGAGAAGTTTTTATTGATCCCAGTGGGTTCTGGATTGGAGCCCATGCTTTATTTATGCTGTGATGAGATTTCAATGAAAAAAATCAAGGAAACATGGAGACCTCGAGTTTCAGTTCAGGACTCTGGCCAATTTCTAATCCAAAATGGCTTCTGGAAAGCATAAAGTAAATTTCTTTTCCTTTTCATCAGGACAGCCTATTAATCTACTTTTTCAATTAAGAAACTTACTTTTGTGCTAAAAAGCTGCAATTTAAGGTCAGTGTTATAAAATATTATTAATATATGTAATCGTAATATATTCACACAGGACCTGCTATAATACATTTTTTAAAGGCCTAAATTTACTTTTCCTACAGATAAACCCGGTATGCGTTTCACCCTTACAGATCGGACTGCCAAATTTTCCCTTTAATTTTTCAATACTGCCATAGGGCTGCAATGCCCGAGTGACAAAACTGCCAGCTGGAGACCTATGCAACAAAGAGCGTCCTCTGCTTTCTTAAGCCACTGCAAAAGGAGGCCGACTGCTTCGAGTGTCTTCCACGGGCAGCTTCCCCGATGCTGCTTACAAGGCGCCCGACGTAACTCACAGAAGAGCTAACCTCTGCAGGAAACCAACGCAGAGCGTAGGAAACGAAGAGCTGCAGACTTTCTTCGGGGCCTGTTCCGCGTTTTTCAGCCGTTTATATAAAGAATCGACTGACCACTTGATGAAGCTGCAGCAAGCCTCTCCGAGGCACACACGTGAAGGCTGTG